GGCTCAGCTCATGGAGCTGGGGCAGCAAGTAGGTAGGGAGCATTCACTAGAGAAGTATAGGGCACCAACGTGCCAGGGCTGTTTGTTCTTCCAAGGAAAGTGCGCTCTGTGTCTCATTCTTGGAGTACGTGGGGCCAGGTGCACAGAAAGCATCTTGAAAGCATTATTGGACTGAATCATGTACACATCTAACTGCCACATCCTACACCAGCCAAGAGGCCCTCCCTGGCCTGGGGAGGGGTCTTGGACCTCTCCTCTACCGCCTGTCTCTTACTTGGTCAGCCATGACCGTCCGGTGCTGGTACATTCCAGGATTAAGCTGCCAACGACAAAACTGGCCTCTCCAGCCTCGGGTGATAGTGCCTCCCCCGATGCCACCCAAGGGACAACCTAGAGAGAGAATGGGGATTGTTACTGGGGTAATGGGGACTGGGAAACAAGTCAGTTGCCCACTTTTTAGACCATAAGGGATCCCCTAAAAACCCTGGGAATATGAAATCAACACGTTGCACACCTTTACTTAAACAAAGCTATAGATCAATTATATCAATAAAGCTTGGGAGAAAAGCCCCTAGGGGATGGGGTCAGAGAAGCTGGGCCCTCGCTGAACAGGGCAGAGCTGCAGGGAGGCTCACCGTAGATCTGCCTCAGGGGTACAGAGTTGATGAGGTCTATGAAAGGTTTCTTTTTCTCCACCTGAGTCTTCTGGTACCACCACTGCAAGTACCTACGGAGCAAGATGCAGTGTGAATGAAAGGGGTTGTGGGCACTGCCTCCCGGGTGCAATCACCTACCTCTTTTTGGACACCAGCTGTGATTTCCCATTACACGGTCGGGGATCCAACACCTTTGCCTCCAAACCTCTCTTCTCAACTTCTCTACAGTTCAGGCTCCTCTTAGCTTTCCAGTCATCTCAGCTCACAGTGTGGGACTGCTTTTGTTTCTCCTCCCTCTTCTCAGGTTTCTGATCTTCCCTCACCTTTAACTCCACCACCACTGCTTCGGCTTTTACCCCAGAAGCTTTTGTCTGAGGTATTGGAAGGTCCAGTTATGGACCTACAACACCCGCCACCAACCTACCCCCCAGGCAGGGGCTGGTGGGATAACTTTCTTCTTTTAAAATGATTATTTTTCGCCCTGATGATGACAGGTGAAAATTTGTAGAAATACAGCAGGTGGGAGGGAGGAAATGCTACCCACAGACAACCAGTGTTTATATTTTAGGGCATTTCCTTTTATTTATTTATTTAAAATTCAGGATTGAAACGGTAAGCTTTGTGATTCTGCTCTCTTATAATATCCCAGTAAAGACTTCAAAAAAAATCTCAACATTTCCACCCTGGCTGGTGTGGCTCAGTGGATTGAGTGCCAGCTTGCAAATCGAAAGGTTGCTAGTTTGATTCCCAGTCAGGGCACGAGCCTGGGTTGCCGACCAGGTCCCCAGTTGGGGTGCTTGAGAGGCAACTGATTGGTGTTTCCCGCCCTCTTTTTCTCCCTCCCTTCCCCCTTCTATAAAAAAACCTCAGTACTTCCCTGGGCTTGTCACAGCAGCATGCCCCGTAGGCAAATGATTCTGACATCTCTCCTAGACCATCTTCTACTCTTACTTCTACAACTTCCCACTCAGGCTGGGTCCTCACTAAGCATCCCCTGCCCTGCGAGACTCTCTCCCAGTTCTACTCTCCTCCCTACCCAGACATTTTATACCACTATTCAAGCACGCTAGTAACCGCATGATTGTGTAAGTAACCCTTCTGAGCCTGTTTCTTGCAAAATGGGGGGATATCTCCGCCCTACCTACCTACTATATGCTACATGGTATGATTGAAAAAGCAAATGACATAATAGACAGGAAAGCCATAAAGTGGCATACCTGCGTCAGCTATGTCCTTCACCTGTAAATGCAGTATCTCAATCCCCAATCAGACGCTGTCTCGTAATTTCATTGCTCCTCATGTGAGTCTGACAAAGATTTCAGTTCCTTGCGGAAAGGTACAGTGAGGAAGACTGGCTGATAATTACCCACAGCTTCAAGTACAAGGCATAGCACACAGCCTGCAGTCGATACACAGTTGCCGAGTTTGCTGGGAGTGTGCAGTGCGACATAAGAGAGATGAACCAGGACAGGCGCAAGGGGAGGAGAAATGTGCTTAAAGACCAGGGAGGGTACCTTCCAGGGGTAGAAGGAAAGGGAGGGAAGACAAAGGAAGAGATGATGGGAAGGCAGAAGATCCTCCCTGCCACTTTAAAGGAAACTGGACTTTGAAACTAGAGGCCAGAAAGGATTGGTGAAGGGAACGAGAGTGCAGTGGGAATTAGGGCAACGAGGGAGAAATGCAAGATGCGAGGAGAGGCAGAACAAAGGAGCATCTAGCACAGAACTGGCACTCAATACATTTTAATTTTTTTAGAAAGAAAACAGTATACATAAGGTAATTTCAACTACTTTGTAGCTGCTTGTAGGAAACAAAGATGTCGCTGCAAATCTTCTCAATAAATCTTGTTGAGTGAATGGACTCTGTCTGAAAGGCAGAGCTATCAAAATTGAGTTCTCACCACACTGAGGCCGAGAGAACTGTCTTCCTGGAGCCCCTGGTTACAGTGCCCTCAGTTCACCTCTCTTAGGGTCTGCCTTTCTCCCACTCCCTTAATTTAGTAGCTGGCCATCCTTGACCTATTTGGCTGTCTCCTTAATTTCAGCCCCAGCTTAAGAATTATCATTCAGAATTCTTTCTCAGCTCACCCCTGCTTTTTTCCTCAAGACCTCATCCCATTCCAAAAGCCCCATGTCAGTGCCCCACCCTATCCTGGTATGAGAAGCCAAGGTCCAGGGGGCTGAGTAGGGGCAGGCCTCCATGACTCAGCTCATACATAGGGCAAGAGGGACTAGGATACCCACCTGTTCTTGACATCAGTGCCCCCATCACTTGCACCCCAATGGGCTTCTCTTGGCACTCTAGCCCTAGATCCCATTTTGACCCAAAGGTTTTGGGGGTCAAGGCTGGGCTGGGTCAGTTTCTGAAGCAGCCAGGAGGGATGATTGTCCTCTGGGACCAGCCACCCACAAGTACTAGCAGAGGAGTAGGATACCTAGGCAGCACCAGGCTCTACTGCCTAGGGCTAGGGTTAGGTAAATGAACCCTGTACCCCAGCCCCACAGCACTGACTGAGACAGGTAAGGATCCCTTTAGAGGCTATCAAGGCTGGGTTTCCCAACCTGTATGCCTCCCTTCCTGGCTCTGTATTTACTGTGTGGACTGATTCAGGATGACATCAGAGTGATGTTTTTTGTCCTCTCATCCACCTGGTCTTGTTAGTAGGTCTCAGATCCTCGTCACTAGTTTTTTACTCGATGCGGATCTGGGGGGAACTAGAGGAGTTCCACAGCCCAGAATGAGCTCTTGGGGTGTCTGCAATCCCTGGGGAGGGAGTGCAGGGGGAGGTGGCCACCAGGGCAGGCTCTGGGAGGCTATTTGCTAAGAGCTCTGGGGACACACCTAGAGCAGTACCTCTCTGATCTGAGGTCTTCTCTGCTTTTTCTGTCAGGGCCTGCCTCTCTCAGCGGAGAGTGAAAAGCACCTCACATCACCCTCTCCTTAGGGTTGAGAGAGCAGGCAGGCTCTCCACCCGCTCCCTGGGAACGAAAGGGTGTTGGGTGTTGGACTGAAGTGTGATGAGCCTAAATGAGGAACTGGGAATACTCCAGCTGCTCAGGGGAATCTGAGAACCACCCCTTCCCACATAAAACAACATTGTATCAGCACCATTTCCTACCCTGCCACAAAATATAGCTAACCCCAAAGAACTGTCTTTGTAAAAGGAGGAGTAGGAGAGAAGGATACGAAATGGGAAAAGCCTACTGCAGGCCTAGATGTTTCTGCTCTTTCTTGCTAAAAAGACAAGTTACTGGGACTAAAGGGTTGCAGAAAGGTGTGACCTGGTCTCACATTCCAATATACAGGCTTAGCATGGATTGCGGACTGGGACAAGGCACATACCTGCTTTCTCATCCTTTTCCACATCTGTTGGACTTCCCGTGTGACAACAAAGGGAACTCTATGGTACTCTAGTTGATGGGATCTACTCACCTCAAGCCCATGCCCAGATGCTTTATCAGGTTGCTTAGGGAGACGTCATTGGCATTAAAAGGTTTCCTCTTCTCTGAAAACTCATGAGCCAAGCAGATGCGCCAGCCAAAGGAAGGCACCTGGTAGCCCTTAGCTTTACCCTCATAGGAAGCCATCAGCTGCCCAGAGCACTCTGGATTGCTGTAGTCCAACTCATTTGGGGGTCGATTGTTTTCAGGGATCTCGAAGTCAGTAACCTGCACATCCTCAGTGCCTCCAGTATCTTCAGGGCAATAAACCTGAGGGTCCCCTTTGGCACAGCTGGTCTGCTCGGAGGCTGGGACTCCGGTTCCCATGTTCCCTGGATCCTGGGTCCCCACGACCTCGATGGCCCCAGGTCTCGAGCCTTCCGGTACAAAGTGTCTCACCAGCCAAGTCCAGATGCGGATGCCGATTGTTGTTAGGTGCCGTCCTGGAGGGCCGGGCGTTGGGGAAAGCTGCGGTGGGCAGGTGTGTCTGTGGACCCCGGGAGCTGTTGCTGCAGCTGCGGCAGAGGCGACAGCAATGAAGCCGCCTTGGGCTCCCTCTTGGTCTTCTCTCTGGGTCCTGGGCAGGAAGGGTCGGGTGTCGTAGTCATTGGGCCGCGATGATGAGTCTGCCCAGCCAAAGGGCGACCAAGGGCCGGCGGAGAGGGGAGGAGCCCAGGGGCCGCCCCGCAAGGCACCGCCCCCGGGACCGGCCTGGGAGCTCGCGGCGGCGTCAGCCGCGTCCCCGGGCCCCCCAGGGCTGGGCGCTGGGTCCCGCCGCCGGTGTCTGGGGCAGCGCCCGCGCCCAGGTGCCCGGCCGTGGGAAGGTTGCCCGAGGCGGCGGGACTCGAGTCCCTTCCGGCCGGAAGCCGGAAGGGGCTCCGCCAGGGGAGCGGGTGGGAGGAAGTCCCGCCTCTGCTGGGGGCGCCGCGAGCACTGGCCGGTCCGCGGGGCGGACAGGTGGGGCCCCGGCGGGCGGAGACCCTCAGTCTCCACCTTGCGAGGTGCCGGGCTGGGGACACGAAGGGGCCGGTGTCCGTGGCCTTGGGCGGGGCGTGGGGCCTTGATGCAGTGGGGGCAGAGGCCGGACCGGGGGTTCAGGGGGGCGGGGGGCTAATCCGGCACCGGGCAGCGGGCAGCCTGGGACCCAGGATGACGCCCTCCCCCGGGCAGTGCCGAGCCAGCCGCCCCCCACCGCCCCTGCGCCGGCCTGCGCCCAAACCCTGGCGCGTCCCTCCGATGCCGGGTGCGGGCCGCCAGTCTTTCTGGGCCTCGCCCCCGGGCTCCACGCAGACTCCCGCCCTGCCGCGGTACTGACTTCTGACTCCCTTTGTTTTCTCCGAGGTCCGGCTCCGGAGCTGCCATGATTGAAGTGGTAGCAGAGCTGAGCCGAGGTCCCGTGTTTATGGCGGGGGAGGCGCTGGAGTGTGTGGTGACTGTCACCAACCCCCTGCCCCCCACGGCCACCTCTGCATCCAGGTGGGAGTGCTGATCCTGAAGAAGGTGGCCCTTCTGGGCGGGAGCCTGGTGTCTTTAGTACTAGGCCAGAGTTCAGGTTGTCATGTACCTACACCACCACCTTCCTGCGCATTGTGTTGTCATTGTAGGAAGGGCCGTTTGACAGATGTGGCTGACAACTGAGGAACAACCCTCCACTCTCCTTTCCCCCCTCCTCTCCCATTCCCCTTTGCACCCATAGGATATTTGTCTTAGTTTAACTGTCTCTTTTTCTTTCTCTTGAATTTATTGAGATGATGTTTGTTAATTAAGTCATATAGGTTTCAAGTGTAAAACTCTGTAATCCATCATCTGTGTATTGTATTGTGTGTCCACCACCCAAAGTCAAGTCTCCTTCCATCGCCCTTTATCCCCCCTTTACCCTCTTCTACCTTCCCCCGCCCCCTTTCCCTCTGGTAAAAAAATGGTTTCTTTGGCGGGTTCTGGATTTCATGATCCTTAAGACAGCCACCTCACCACATTGGCTTCTGGACATGTGGTAGGGAGTTTGGAAGGGCATCGACGAGGTCAGGAGCTCCCCTCTGATGCCATCTTTACTTCCTTCCATAGTGAGGCTCTGGCCTGGGCCAGTGCCCAAATCCACTGCCAGTTCCATGCCAGCGAGACTCGAGTAGCGCTGCCTCCCCCAGACTCCAATCAGCCAGATGTTCAGCCTGAGAGCCAGACTGTCTTTCTCCCACACCGAGGTTAGAGATGGATGTGTGCCTTTGGTGGGGATGCAGCGTTGTCTTGGAAGGATGGAACTCAAATTGTTCCAGAGGGTCTTCATAGTCTCTGTGGCCTGGGGATGCGGGAGGGTGTGGCTGTTGCTTTAGGGCTGTAAGATTGTTGCGCTCTCATACTAAGAAAAGAGCAGTAATTTACTGCAGGCTGCTGTTTGTTACCGGGGCTCATGGCCCCACTTGCTGTGCTAGCCTCTTCCAGTGCTGGATAATGGGGTCATTCAGCTGCAGTCTTCATCTTTTTTAGGTGAGAGGGGTCAGTGTATCCTTTCCACTCCACCGAAAATCCTATTCTGTGACCTGAGGCTAGACCCTGGAGAGTCCAAATCATGTGAGTGACGGTTGCCCACCCTTCTTAAGATTCCTGGAGGGAGGACTTCTCTGGCTGCCTCTGTCTGCCCTGACTACTACTTCCCGACCAGACTCCTACAGCGAAGTGCTGCCCATAGAGGGACCGCCCTCCTTTCGAGGTCAGTCAGTCAAGTATGTCTACAAACTGACCATTGGCTGCCAGCGTGTCAACTCGCCCATCACTTTACTCAGGGTCCCTCTGAGGGTTCTTGTGTTGACTGGTAAGTAAGGGTTCCTGGAGGGAAGGGCTGAGGAAGAGCCTCACCGAAGCAGAAATGATCCTTAGAGATCTTGTGAGAGGGGCTCGGGGGATGCTTCCTGGTCTCAGTGAAGCTGCGCGGGGGTTGCAGGGCAAGGGTCCTGGAGACAGGTGGAGGTGTGTACCTCGGCCATGGCTTCCCGTACCTGCAGCCCTCTCAGGTGGGAGTCAAAAACCTAACTCTGCTCGTTCCTCTGTCCCCTCCCAGCACTGCTTGTTTACTTAACCTCTCACTAATCTCTCTCTAGGCCTTCAAGATGTCCGGTTTCCCCAGGATGAGGCTGTAGCCCCATCCAGTCCATTCTTGGAGGAGGACGAAGGTGGGAAGAAGGATTCGTGGCTAGCTGAGCTGGCCGGGGAGCGCCTCATGGCTGCCACATCCTGCCGCAGCCTCCGTGAGAATACTTTCAAAACTGTCCCATCTGCCCTCTTGTCACAGTGTTCCTGTCTCAGGGGCAGGTTCTTCTAACTGCCACATGCTTCCAAGGACCAGCTGGTACCTCCTCACCCCCGAGTACAGAGAAAAGCCCCTCCTTTGGACTCCTGCTCCCAGCCCTAGACACTCCTCAGTGTGGACTCTGGGTTTACAGTGTCCTGTTTCCCCCAGATCTGTACAATATCAGTGACGGCCGAGGAAAAGTTGGGACATTTGGCATCTTCAAATCCGTATACAGACTTGGCGAGGACGTGGTGGGGACCTTAAACTTAGGGGAAGGAACTGTAGCTTGTTTGCAGGTGAGAAGGGAGAGGGGCTCTTGGGATGCTGGGCCTGAAGGGTCAGGCGAGCAGACGGGCCTGCATGAAGAGGGGTGGTGTGTGGAAGTGGGGAGGGGTCGCCGGGAGTCTCTTTCTTTGGTAAAGCAGGTTGAGGTTGGGCCGCCTTCTCACAGAGTGAGCGTGCCCCAACGCCTGCTAGTGCGCACTTTCTTGCTCCCAGTTTTCAGTGAGCTTACAGACTGAGGAGCGTGTACAGCCTGAGTACCAGCGGCGCCGAGGGGCAGGGGGCGCCCCCTCGGTGTCCCACGTGACTCACGCCCGACACCAGGAGTCCTGCCTACACACAACCAGAACCAGCTTCTCCCTCCCCATCCCTCTCAGCTCCACCCCAGGCTTCTGCACAGCCATTGGTAAGATATTGCCCGCAATTGGTGGGGGAGGGGTGGGGGGAGTAAAATATGGCACTCAGGTGGAATATAATCAATCCTGATTCCTAACACACTCACTGATATTCCCACATCCAGTCTCTGACCATTAACACTTTCTCAGATCTTCAAACCTACTTCCTAGATGCACTGAGTCCGGAACTCTTCAGAGCTTTGCAGATGTCCTTCCCTGCCCCTTCCCACGGGGACCCTGTAATCACTGACCTCTGATTCCCCAGCACCTGTACTTCTGGCTACCAGGTCTCGACTGTCTCCTGCTTGGGTTCTGTTCATGACACTGACGTTCTTCTCACCACTTTTCAGGTTAAGGCACTAGATATCTTTGGAGAAACCCTTGATGCTAGTTCCCTGTCCCGAGACTTCCCTGCCTCTTCCTGAATAAAGGGTTTTGCTCATTTGCTAACCACATCCTGTCAGGCTTTAGTTTTGGCTTCTAATGCCTCTGTCTATGTCTTTTCTTTCCACAGTGTCCCTAAAGTGGCGGTTGCATTTTGAATTTGTAACATCCCGAGAACCAGGTTTGGTGCTCCTGCCTCCTATGGAACAGCCCGAACCTGTCACCTGGACAGGACCTGAGCAAGTGCCTGTAGACACCTTCAGCTGGGACCTCCCTATCAAGGTGCTGCCTACAAGCCCGACGCTGGCCTCATACGCAGCCCCAGGCCCCAGCACCAGCACCATAACCATCTGAAGCGGGCTCACCGCAGCACTACTTTTTTCAGGACACTGAGGACTCAGCGCCTGCGCTCTACTAGGGCCCAGTTTGTTTCCACCTGGGGCCCAGTGGCACGGACAATGAGGAGCAGGCTTTTAGCTATAGCATTAATTTATTTATTCAGAATAAATTGGCAGCTGCTAGTGGTTTCCCTGGAAGTGGCGGCAGCAGTGGCAGTCAGCAGAAGGGTGATCCGTTAAGTTTAGCTGGAGTGGGGAGCAGGAGCCCCAGGAACAGGGGTGTTAGCTGAGCCCCACTCTGGGTCAGGCCCTCCCCCTTTGCAGGGCAGCCGAGGGTCAGATTTTTGCACCAGGGAGAATTGGCAGGTTCCTGCCTCCCGTTGCACCTCACACTCAGCAGGGAAGTCGATGGGATGCTGGGACCTGGGGAACCAAAGGATGGGGAAGGAGTCAGCACGGCGAAGGGCCATCTTTACCCCGCCACACACATTCCCTCCTTCCCGGCATTCCTCCCATATCTCTGTCAGTGCTCCCTTGGTTCTCCTAAGTAAATTCTCACCTACCACAGATGGGTTTTCTTCATTTCATAGCAGGAGTATTTTCTCTCTGGACCCACCCCTACCTCCCTCACTCTGTAGCCTGGAGCCTTCTCTCTCACATTCTTGCTGGCACCTTCAAGTCCGGCCAGCCTCATACTGCCATGCTGTTCCGTTCTAACACAGCAGCAGCCTAGTCATGCCTTGGCCATCTCTCAGTCGCTCACATCAGAGCCATTCTCTCTGGGCCACTTTCGGTCACTCACGTGTCGCAGCAGCCCACACCGACAGGATGCAGACAGGTGCAGTGGAAACAGTCCTTGCGGAGCCAAGACTCTCCCAGGGTAAAATACTTGCCTTCATAGTGGCAGGGGGCTGGGGAAGAACAGGAAATGTTCATGTGTAGGGGAGTGGTGACAGCAGACGAATCCCCCTGGAGTAGGAGAGAGTTAGGTGCACACTGCCCCCATACTTAGTCTCTCCTGTTCTGAGCTGGGGGGAGTCTGGGTATTTGGACACAGGGTCACCTTTAAGGCCCCCTCCTCCCAGTGAGTGAATGCCCTCAGGCTCCTTGTACTTTCCCAATGCCTTACCCAGCCTTACCTTGAGCTTGGAAGTAGCACTTGCTGTAGACTCCTGGGTGCTGGAGGAGCAGCGATATCACCAGGCAGATGATCCCCCAGCCTCTCAGGATCCCCTTAGTCTGTCCAGCCCAGAGCATTCTTAGGGCCATTCCTGTCGCACAGCCTTTGCAGACCCTTCTCGGCTTCCGTCCAGGCTACTCGGTCTTGTCTCCTTGGCTTCTCTTCGTTCTCTCCTTCAGTCTAAGTTTCTGTCTTTTCCCCTGGGCTCCTGTCTCACACCATCTCCTGCCCTCTGCTCTCACGGCTTGGAGATGCTTATAAAGTGAGGACCCTGGCCCCCTGCTGAGTAGAGCTGGAAAAGCTGTAACTCTGTTTCCTGGGGTGAGGGCATGAAAACAAGAGGTCCGGCTTTAACAAGCTGTGAGAGCTGATTCATGCTCCTGCACGGCTAGGGGGAGGGAGGTGGGCATGGAAGGGGCACTGGACTGGGCACTTCCCCAGCAAGGAGGAGGGAGGGCCCCCAGGTGGTCCCCAGGTCTCTGACCTGGAGAGGAGGAAGCATTCCACCTTCCCCACCCCCACCTCACAACACCGCACACACTCTCTCCATGGGTGGATGTGCTGGGATCCTTGCCTGGACCGGAGGGAGGCATTTCCTGGGGATGGCTAATCCTGTGCCCCAGCCAAACCAAGGAGCTGCTGTGGGGTGCGACGGCCAGAGGCTCCGGGAGAGCGAACAGGCACCTGGAGTGGAGAACATGCCCCTCAGACCTTAGGGCAGGGCCTCCCTGCAGCAGCTTAGACACGTGGCTGCCCCTTGGAGATGCAGGGTGGGTGTCTCTTCCGCAGCCACCAGAGTGGGTTCACCCGAAACGCACAGCACATCCAGTCTCCCTGTATCTGGGGATGGTTCTTTGAAAGAGGAGTATCTCTAAATGTTCTAACGGTATGCTTTGGTTTCCCAGAGGTACCCCCCTTTCCTGTACATTATGGAATGAACATTTAGGAATTGACCCTTTGACATCCTCGTTTGGGTTTCCTGCAGGTTCTGGAGAACCCCGAGATGGGTGATTAAGACCAGAGGGTGCACAGTCAGACTACTTGGATTCAGATCCTTGAGAGCTGTGTGATTTTGGGCAAGTTACTTCATCTCTCTAAACCTGTTTCCTTATCTATAAGTTGGGATAGTAATACCTAAAGGGTTGTTAAGAGGACTAAATTAGATAATGTATGTCTTCTGTCCCCAACACGTAGCCCTGAGAAAGCATTAGCACTGTGGTTAGTGTTAGAGCTCAGAGAATGGGTGGACATCCCTTGTAAAGACACCGAGGTCCTGCTGCCTCCTGGCGTAGGCTTCCGTCCCTTTCACACTTAAGCTCCGGGTCCTCTCTGCCACCTGTTTCAGAAACTACCTCCGGGAGCATTTTGGTTTTGGTCCTTGTATCCTTGAAATTCTAAATGTTTGGTTTGAGAAAACTTGCTGGTAAAACTACTTCCCCTGAGCCAGTACCCTCACCTCTGTCCCGGGGAGAAGTTATCATTTTCTTACCATCCTTCCAGGTAACTTGAGGGCTCCTGCTTTTTCTCATGGATTCTGACCCAGTTCTTCGCAGCCTCACTCATGCAAACTCTTAAGTTCTCCTTTCCGACAACTCTAATGCTGGCCACCCCTTTGGGACTGGTGTGAACCTGGCTAAACTGGGTTCTGTTGTTGTTTTCTTCATTTTTCCACACTCCAAGAGGCCTCTGTTCCAGGTATTCCCCTCCTACCTGCAAGGCCAACCACTTTGGCATGCAGTTTATTTTTCCTGCTAGGTCTCCAGTCCCATTTCCTCCAAATCCTGGCCAGTGTGGCTCAGTTAGGTGGCACGTGGTCCTGTAGACCGGAAGGTGGCTGGTTCAGTTCCCAGTCAGGGCATACATGAGGCCCCAGGTTGTGGGTTTGATCCTAGGGCACATACCAGAAGGCAGCCTTCTCGGTATTTCTCACATCTTCTCTCTCAAAAGCAATAAAAAATATATCTTTGGGTAAGGATTTTTAAAAAATCCACTTCCTCCGAGACTGCCACTCCCTGTCACCCAGTGGACGGGATACGGCTACTCTGAGAGGGCTGACCGGTGGTGCCGCCCTCCTCTCACCTCTTCCCGGTTCCGAAACCGCGCCTCAGCCCGCCTCAAACTCCGTCTTTTCTCTTCCAAGGGACAGCTTAGGTGGAAGGAGCTGCAGATTCCCACACATTCACCCTACTCGGGTCTGATGCCGTTTCTACTTTAGGGGACTGTCTACGAAGCGGGGCGCCCCGATGTCGGCAGGCACGGGGAGGCAGGGCCTTGCACTGCTCTCTGGCCGGAGCAGGTGGATTGGAAGGCCTGTCCACCGCACAGGCCCAGAAGCCTTGTCGGTGGTCAGTGGCTCTGCAGCTGCATTTCTGCAGGAGGGACGCTCGCCCGCAACCTGGAAGTCTGCTCCTGCAGCCTGAAGTCTGGGCGAGCGGGGAGCTGGAGAGCACGGAGGTGGTGGCGGTGATGCCGCAAGGCAAAGGGGTCCCAGTGGAGACCGGGATTGGTGCGAGGTAATGGGGACAAAGTGAGAGCTGTCTGCAATGATGGAGAGGTAGGAGTAGGGGTCTCCTGGGAAGAAAGGTTGGGGCTGAGCTGAGCTCCCGCTCCTAGAAGTTGGGGAGTCACACGGAGGTAGGTATTGCTGGAACCCACTCCCAGGCCTGTCAGTGTGTGTGCGTGAATCTATGTAGCTTTTGGGGGCTGGAGGCCCAGGTTCTGAGAGTGTGTGTGTGTGTGTGTGTGTGTGTGTGTGTGTGTGTGGTGGGGTATCAGCGCTTAGGGCTCAACCCTATGATTTCTGGGGCCTCGGAAATGCCAAATGCGGGGGCTGCATCGTTTGGCGCGGGGGCGGTTGGCGCGCGACGCCCGCGCGAGGACAGAAAACATCCGCCGGAGGCCGGGGCCGGGCAGCGCTCCAGCAGCGAGCGCCGGGCAGGTGCGCGCGGCGAGGAAGTGAGCGCATTCCGGCCCCCAGCCGCCGACCCGCCCTCCGCCCTCCGGTGAGTCACCGCTGACCCCCGCCGCCTTGGCGGGATGGGAAGGATTGATTGCGGCCACGGGGAGGTTTGGAGGGCTGGAGCTCCTAGGGGGTAGTTGGGCGGGCTGCGGGGAACACCGGGAGGGTGGTGGGAGCCCCCGAGAGAGTTAGGGGTGAAGGGACTGAGCGGTCCAGGTCCTGGTTTTGCCCCAGGTGGGAAAGATTTAGAGGCCGAACGAACGCAGGGCTTGTGCCTTGAATGTAGGAAGCAGAAGCAAGACCCCGGGAGAACATCATAGAAGAGGGAGAAGGCCTTCGCGTGGGCAGGGCAAGGGGCCCGAGCAAAACGGGGGTGCGAGCCCAGGAAGGGGAGGGTGGGTTGCGCGGCTGCGGAGACAGCACCGCGGGGGGTGGCGGCCCGCGGGACGGCCCCTGGCCCGTGCAGGCCTGGGCCAGCCGGATCCCGTAGGTGCAGGGAGACTTTCGGTCAGTCGGGGAAGTGGGGGTGGCCAGCCCCTCGAGATTAGGTCGGTCCAGTGGCCTGTGCGCAGGAAGAGCAAAGAGTACGTTTAGAGGGCAGGGGGGTTGGGGTTATTTGGGTGCAGTTGTGGGGAGGTCGTTAATGGCTTTGAAGAACGGTGCGAGGAATTCGGACTTGGTCTCTGAGCAGGAGGAGTAAGTGCCTCAAAGGCCAGGGTACCCGTGTCCAGCATCACTGCCTGCCATTCAGTCTTTGTCGAGAAAACGAGATGCTGATTTGCTCAATTTTATAGCCATTTAAAGTTGCATGACCACATTTATCTAACGATTTAATTCTGTTGAATTTTTAAGAAGCAAATTGAAAACATCCGATTCCATGTTTGGTTTAAAAACCGAAGCGAGGCCATGCAGACGACTTACACAGCGTTGTCCTTTGCTTGGTCCGCCTCCATCCCCGCTCTCTGACTTGACTGCGTTCTGTGTCCGTGTCTCCTCCATTCACCGTGTCAGCAGCCTGCACTCTAGCTTTCCTCTTCCTCACATGATGGTCTTTATTAGTTTCTTTCTGTGCAGCCCTTTAACCTGCCCTTGTATCCTGAACCAAGTAAAACATCTTTTTTTTTTTGGGGGGGGGCGCTGGGCTCCAGCATACAAAGACAAGTGGTTCAGTTTTACCCTACGGCTTAGGTTACTGTCCTCTGTGGGTTTGTACGGAGCTACAGTTTCTGCATTTACCCCGTGTCTCATAAAGAGAGAAGGCCAATGCTGCTGTTTTATTCACGGTAGTATTTCTACAACAAAGCAACTTCTAAGTCAAGTTTCTCTTCTAAAATCAACTCTAAAATGGTATTTGGTACTTGTCTCAGAAACTCATTCTATTGTGATCTTTATTTATTTATTTTTAAGATTTTTATTCATTTATCTTTAGAGTAGAATGTAGGGGAGAGGGAGAGAAATATCAATGTACGGTTGCCTCGTGTGTCCCCTGCTGGGAACTGGCCTGCAACCGAGGCATGTGCCCTGACTGGGAATCGAACTGTTCAATTAGTTCCCAGGCCCGTGCTCAATCCACTGAGCCACACCAGCCAGGGCTATTGTGATCTTTATCATTTATGTTATCTTGGGCCAACGGCAATGACAAGGATTAGGATCTTTATAATTTATGTTGAAGATCCTTAAACCCTGCACTTGCCTTTGGCCCCAAACAAGAAAATCTGGGTCAGTTAATTTAAAAAAAGGACTGCTCTGGGCCCAGTTGCTCTCTCCTGCGCCGATTCAGCGCAGCCCTACCTTATGCCCAGTGGCCTTCATTCCTTCTTCGCTCTGCTGGGCGTCTTTAGAGGAAAACTTCACACCGACTTCCTCTACCATAAATTCTCCCTGCCCTCAGCTCTACACTTCTCTTTGCCAACATACACCACTGCTTCTTCATTGATTTTTTTTTTTTTTCTTTTTTAAGCTCACAGCCCTTGCTGGCTCTTTTCCATCTCTAACACTCTCTGGTTGAAATCTTTTTTTTTTTTTTTTCCCTTCCTTTCTCTTTGGGAAGACCTCAGATTTTAAAAAGGTTATGCTGTATTTATTCAGCATGATCCACTTCTGTCTTCTTTCCTCTTCTACCAGCTTCTTCATCTTCTGGACTGTGTGTGAATTCCGTGATGCTTGCTTTCAGCAAAGCTTCAGCCTTCCCCGTGGGATTAAACAGCCTTCCTATATATATAGCCTATGTTTTCATTAGTTTTCCTACAAGAAAAAAAGTTTTCAGATTCCCATCCACTGGGTCTCTTCTTCCCACATTCTGCACCCAGAAGAAGCACGACATGGCCATCGTCGTAAAGTCCGC